CTGCACTATATTTTTGTCTATATTTTAAATAATAATAATAATAATTTATTATTATTATTATTATTATTATTATTATTATTATTATATTGGTTGTTGCTTTTGTATATTGCTTAGCTTTGCCTTGACTGAAGCAGTTTAGACACACAGATCTATTTTCCATGTTCTTTTATCAATACGGTTAGTGATAGTGAATGCAAATAATTTTAGGTTTGCTAAGAAAATTTTCCTCTTTAAAAATGAACTAATATTAATAATAAGATTGATTGTTGGTCATGAAATGCCACTCATGACAAGAGTTATAGTCTATGCTGAATTGGGATAAGATTCCTGCTTCTGATCTGTCCCTGTTCACAACAAATCCCTACCGTAAAAAAAAAAAAAAGGAAAATAGTGATAAAAGCTGCAGTAGATGCACTACTATTGGATGATGATGCCAAGTGAATTTTCAACTCCTCCTCCCCATTTCCCAGCCTTATCTGTCACTTACTCTACCTGTGATCTCTTCAGGTTTGATTTCAGCTTCAAACTCCAGGGTAATGCGAGTCACCTCTTTGTTGGGAGAGTTGCGAGCCCGACGTCCTTTGCCTTTCTTTGATGAATCACACTTCAGGTTCACGAAAGACACTTGGCAATCTGAGCATGGGGCTGACCCGCCTAGTAGAATCAATGTCAGTATTCTTTAAGGAACATAAAATATTTTCACAACCTTCACAAGCATATTCTTCTATAAACACTAAGCAAAATGTCTCTTCCTTTCCCTGATGAAAGGACTAAACAGATGTAGGAAGGCAGTTAATGGACCCCAGAGATATAGTGAACATCTCTCAGTATAATGTCTGTGGTGAAGAAAACCTTCAACAACCTCCTGCTTAAATTATGCATTTGGAACTATTTTCAACAAGACCCCATGCAAGAGAAATCTGGATTTCGCAAGCTTCAATCTCACTCTCATTCTCCCTTCACTTTTAAATTAGTGATTTATGTAGTTAATTATAACACAGTAAGCATAGTCTCTTGGTCATAAAGCCCATGATGGAACAATGTTTTACAAGACTCTAGTCTAGTCAGAAATGCATATTGCTTTGTCGGAATTCAAAGAATGTTGTCTTAGTTAGAAATAAGTAGAGTACTGTTATTTTTTAAACCAATCGCTTCTTTTTGCTCCTCTCACAAGTGGAAACGAATACGAGATATCCAATTCTAACAAATTAAAGTATAGAATAAACCACAAATGGAAGACCTCAGTTTAGACATTATAATAAATAGATAATAAATAAATTGCAAATGCTCTTTCTCTAGTTTATTTGCTTAAAGGGGTTGGAAGGTCCATGGAGCACTATGCTTTCCTCATAATTTTGGTTTAGGGAACAAAGGAAACATTGTGTAGTGTAGTCACTGAAAAACTGGTTCTTGGTTTCACAAAACTTAAGATTGTAAATAATTCCAATTGAAGATTATTCCAAGACATACAGAGGAGAGAGTACCTCACCTAGTCCTCCATTCCTGCCAGTATCATCCTGCTTGCCTTTCATGTGTGGATGGAGATAGCATTTGGCATCTTTAATTTTAAAAGAAGCCTTTTGTTTGATTGGAGCAGCAACAGCCTCTAAAAGAAAAGGCAGATGCTAAGTTTGGCGCGTCAAATGTATTAGACAGGAGCTCTCAGAGCTCAAGACTCCAAGCTTACCAATGCAGGGATGGCTACCATTACTGGATCTTGGTTGAGGTACCTGTTGCAGAATTGGGGTCCCACAGCTCACAGTGTAGCTATTGTCAGATTCTGCAAAGAAAAAGACTTTAGAGGTGTGGAGGTCTAGGATCAGATACTTGTAACACTTGTTTTATGGCTCTAAACTTGCAAGTTCAGCCCAGCCTAACTCAAACCTGATGTTTTGAAATATCATCCCAAGCCTGACCTTGCCCATTGATGATTGTAGTCCAATTTGGCTCAATTTGACTCATAACTATATTATTTTCATTATTAAACAAGGCTCCAAAGAGACTGGTGTAATAAGAATACATAAAAGAAAGTGCAGCTTGTGGCAGAATGGGGTTCAAACCTGAACAGGGCTTATAGCCTTAGGACCCAAGGGTATTTATGAGTCAGATCACAATGCTTGCCAAGACAAGGATGGATCTGTGCTAAATATACAGAAAGCATTTTTTATGCTTTTCTGCACAGCTCTTAACAAAGTTTTAGGGCCTGCACTGTCAGTTAATACTTTCAGGATGAAAATAGTGATAGGGCAATGAAAATATTCCTGGGTTTTCTTTGGGAAACGGACTGAATTGAGATAGACATGTATGATCTTCTATTATCCAGGGCATAGAAAATTGGCAGTCAACTCATCCTAAGTGTCAGGTGAATACTGTATAAGCCCAGCAGTGCTGGGCACACTGTGGGAAACTGAAAGTGGTGGACATCTCCCAGTCTCAGCCATTTCCATTGCCAATGACAGCAATGAATCATGTTGCCATTTTATATTTTGGCAACAGTTGAAGGATGACAAATATGGACACTGGCACTACCTATACATTACATTCAATACTAACACAATAAGACCAACTTCTTGTCCCTGCTATAAACCAAACATCAATTGAAAACCTCAAAAACTATTGCAAAAACTATTAAGCCCTGAGATTACAAAACTAAGGTATGGAACAAGCTGTTCCAACTGCAATAAAAAAAAATTGAAAACAACGAAGACATGAGTGTAGTGTATGTGCATAAATGATTAAATAAAAGGTAGTACGTGTATGACACAGGTGTCCTAATTGTACAAAATAGTGCTCTAAAAACATCTTGCACCAAAGCTATCCCATGACAGTGTTTTGTGTTTGTGTTTGTGTTTGTGTGTGTGTGTGTGTGTGTGTGTGAATCTGAGTACTTACCTGGCAGAAAGCGAGCCTTGGAGGCACAGGTGAGGGAGCAGCTTTCCTTCTTGCCATTCTTGTTGCAGGTAAGTATGGCTCGTGGAGATACTGTGCCAGCCAAACAAATCTCCAGCTCTGAAGAACAAGCATCAATTGATAGCACTATGCAGATGAGAGTGCAATTCACAGAGGAGCAGCCAGAGTCTGCCACTGGGATGGCTACAGTGCAGAGCCACACCTGAATCTCCAGCAGAAACAAATAAGCATCAGTGCACTATTGCTATCTCCACTTGCCTCTGCCATGGGTTATGGCAAAAAGTCATGTTCATGTTGAGCTCTGGCTCATTCAGCTCATGGCTGATGTAGTAACTTCTAGAAGAATGCATTGCAGGCCCTGAACCACAAATTGTAGAAACTTTAGAAATTTAGAATTTCCCAACACAAAAGTGGTTGCATATTTTTATTTTTCATTTAAATGGTTGTTGCAATAGGCTTTGAAAAAGAAAAAGACTGAAAATGTCCAATCCATTAAAAAAAAAAAATAGGACTTTTGAGCAAACAAAAATTTCTGATGGGTAGTATCTAAATTGACAAATAAATAAGCTATTTTACTGGTATCAATCTGAAACTGCTGTATAGAATATCCATTCCATTATTGATAATCTTTAAGCTTTAGATATTCAAATCTGAGACCAATGCCATGCATTACATATCTTTTGTGCTTTCAAGTGTTAAATACTTTAAAGATGCTAAACAGCAACGGATAAGGTGTTCAGAGATCACCGATGTTTAGAACTATTTCCACTAGGGTAATTTTCACTCCAGTTAAAAACCTATCCTGTTGAAAAGAATTTTCCCACTAGAGGGCAGTATGATTTCAAGCCATTTCTATATAGTACTCACCTATGCAATCTTTTTTATTCCAATGAAGTCTGCAACCTGCTGGGCAGGTACATTCGTAGCTACCTGGGGTATTTACACATCCAAACTTGCAACCTCCTTGATTGACACTACATTCATCAACATCTGTAGGAAGACCAAGAAGCATGATTAGTAAACTATTTGAAATCCACAAAACAAATTTTCTGACTGGAATACTCATTATAACTCCTAGGTCTAATCCAGGAACTATAACTGACGCTAGTAAATGGAACAAAGAGAATTATTGAGATTAAGAGAAAGAAAAAATGGGGTGAAACAATACCAACTACAAGAAGGAAACTATATGTTGTTGCTTCCATCTGTCATTCAGAAGAGATCTGGCTGCTTACTTAATTGATTACACCTATTGGATCATTAGTGTTCAAGAGACTTTATAAAAGCAGTAAGCAAAATAATCCTAATCCAAGATACCCACAAGACTGATAAGGAATTGGACACAGAGGACAGGAAGCTAACAAGAGGAATGGAGTTATGAGTTTTGCTACCACAAATTGTTATAAGAAAGTAAGATAAGGAAGTAAGGAAGTAAGATAATCCTTTGGATATCTGCCATAGTATGTGGTTCTGATGTACTTACAAGCATGCTACAGTGATCTATATAGTTATAGGGATTTAGTATACTGTATGATTGTTGCATTCAGTGCTGATCAGGGGACATTTGGCCCTGTACCAAACACATGAATGTATTGTACAACACTTCCTCTGCCTTCCTAAGGGGTTATACATGTTTGTATACTGTGTTTATATGCACAGTTTTTCCCTTTCCATCCTTATGACCTCCAGAATTCTAGCAACAGTCATGCCCAATGCATCTGGAGGACATTAGGTTAGAGAAAGCTAATGGACAGATTATGTTTAGCATTGTCCATATTTCCATGGTTGTCTTTCTTCATTATTCTCCTTCCCCATGAAACCTGAAAGTGAAAACACGATATAATAATTATAATAATAAAAATGCTTCTCCCTTCTTCTTAGCCTTTAAAAGACTAAAGAATCAATATAGACTGAAAATCATCCTTCATCTTAATCACAAAATTACTCTGAAGGCTACATGATATGGAGCAATTAAGATTGCCTTGAAGCATCTTGAGATCATTTCAAGAACCTATCATTCAACACCATCCACAGTAGTCTTTTAGGCAGGTAATAGGAATCTTTATGTCCCTCTCATCTCCCAAACATATGCTTGGATTAAATGGAATGAAAGCAGTTTTAAATTGGTCCCATTGCTCTAAAACATGATGTATGTCTTCATCCTAATATTACTTAATCCTTTCTTTTTGCCTTGCAACACAAAACCACAGGATTAAACTGGAAGAGGAACATTTTTAAAGCATGTTTTAATTCAGTAGGCCAAACTAGAGCTTTGTTCAAAAAAAAACCTTGTTCAGTGTTTATTGCCTTTAGTTCATATAAAAGTAAATAGAAGAAAGCCGATGAAAGAAAAGAATATCTTCATCTAGACTACTCTTCCCAACTGTAAGACCCTCAGAAACACTGAACAACATATCTTGTCATGAAAATATCAGAATGTAATATTTTCATTACTCTCTGGAAAAAAACACTGTGTGTGTGTGGGGTAATACCCCTCTGAGGGGATATTCTGTTAGGATACAGCCTGTTGTGCCTTAAAATGACTTCTACCGTACAGCATAGTGGAGTTGCCATGGTAACAGCTTCACAGTACTCCACAAGGGGGTTCCCTTGGTAAGGGGGAAAATCCAACATTAGAAATTACATTTGGTCTGGACATTTTCCCCCTATAAATAAATGCCCGTGCAACGCCGGTTTTTATAGTTTTCTATAAAATCCTCCTGTCTCAAGCAAACTATATCATATATTTCCTTTACTTTACTTTTTATATTTACTTTTCTATACCACAATTACTGGTTCAGAAGTCCTATCTTTTGTTAGCATTTTAGCACCCTAAACCTGAAGGAGAGACAAGCATATTTTGATGGAAATTCAGGGTTCTTTTGACAAGTTTTGAGAAGTATCAACTAACTGACAACCAAAACATATTCCTATTAATCAATGTAGTGGTTAGCATTTTAAAAACGTAGACCTCAGCCTGGGCAACATTAAGATATTTCAACCACATCTTGGTTGAGGAATTATGGGAGCTGAAGACCACACATCTTAAAGTTGTCAAGGTTCAAAAACCATGTTGTAGATAATCGCTTTGACCTGTGCCATCCTTGGTTTTGCCAAGAAAAAGAATTAGCAACCAGTGATGAGTTAGCCACTTTAAATGTCACTCCTGAGATCAAATGTAATGAAGAACAGAGAAGAACAGAGAAAATAGAATGGCATGAGATCTGAAGTTCAAAAAAACAGCTGCAACTGCCAGCCTGCCAATGCTATCCTTTTTTCAACATTCCTGCTACTTTACGGCACCTAATTTCACAACCATGGAAATCAGTGCTAAAGGTCTGACATGGAAAAATACACATAAACACAATGACAGCAGAAAAAAGAAAAAACCCATAAAGGACCACTTTATTCTGAAAGCTTCGCATGCAAGTATTTCAGTTTTCCTTCCAAGCTTTGCCAAAGTGTATTCCCACACAACGTGGCACATTCAGGTCACGGCTTTGCTCCCAGCTCTTTGGAATAGGCTAAATGCTGACTCATATGTCTTTGTCAAGCCATTTTTCAGTTTGGCTCCATCCCTTCTTGCTCTTTTATGTAACTTGCTTCTGTTACTCCAAGTGAGTCCTAAATTCAGAATATCATCTTCTCGTTGCTAATTAGTAAAGAGGCTATTTCATATTTTACAAGCTTGCTGAAGGTTGTGAAGATTTAACAGCTACTAGCTAGACCCAACCAATATTCTGTAATATTTGGGCTTAATATCTGGCTTAGCAATATACATGTAGTAATATGCAGCCAGTTATGGTTTACACTATATAAATAAATCATATTTCCACAGAATTTCAGCTACAGGAAAAATAGCCAATAATTTTTAAATGCTTTCTTCTGAATTTAGAATCAGAGAGAAAAGTTTTAGCGAGAGTAGTAGAAAACAATCTTCCATTAACAACAGGAAAGGGGAAACATGTTTTTTTTAAAATGCCTTGTTAGAAGCCAAAATTATTTAGTTTAGTCTACTATAATCTAGAAAAGTCTTGATAAACTCTGAAGTAAGATACACTTTTTATTAACTTGCAGATCTATAATTAATTAATTCATTTTAGAACTTTCAGCACTGCCAATTTAGTTGCTAGAAAGAGGGAGGCCCATCCACCTAGTCAGTACCCATTGATAATAATTTCATCATCCTTAATTTGCCTAATTTATTTGAAATTATTTAAAACTATCTAAGCTGATGACGAAGTCAATAATGCCTTCCCTTCCAGTCTTACCCTTATCATTTCAGCTCCCCCCCCACAATTCTGCAAATATCTGATAAAGAATAAATTATATAAATGAGAATGGGCATGGCAAAATGAATAGGATTACATGTTATTGAGTTATATACTTTATTTTGATAAGATCTAAGCATGTGTCTCAAGGAAAAGTGGAACAGTTGGCATGTTCTGTGATGCCATGAATTTTATATAGATTTATACAATAGATGAATTATCACCCTTTCAGTAATTTTTCTAAAACAAATTCCTTCTCACTTTTTTTACCCATTATTTGCAGATTGGAGGCCTACTTTGAATTAAATGTAGATTTCCCCCCCTTTCAGTACACTGATTGTGGCAAGGGATAAAAAGGGGAGCCTAACAAAACTGGATTCCACCTTTTTCTCCAGCTGTTGTATATAATCTCTTACTGACTTTATGTTTTAGTATGTATGTATTATTGTCTGAATAGTTCAGATCTTGTAGACTATTTTATGATCTTTGGCTGTAGTAAGGAATTCATTCATCATGTCAGTAGATGATTTATTCTGGCAACTAAATAGCAGGCATTAATCATGGTTTAGTTGTCCTGACTTCTCAGCAGCTTTCAGGCTATTGATCACAGTGTTTTGAGATGTTTAATCAGTAAAGGAGTTGACTAAATGCTCCCAAAAATTGTGCTATGCACTGTTGTTTGGTTTCTGGAAAGATGACTTATGGCATACTTTGAGATTCTATTTGTCCCCTGTATTTTCTATGTTTTACATGAAGTTGTTGAGAAAACTCTAGGTCAAAAAGAGTTTCTTTGCTCTGTCTTTCTCTTTATCTTATACCAAGAAGTTTGTTGAAGTCCTGAATCATTGAACATAGAATATGGAATATTACTCCATATGCATAGTAAATGCCTCAACTGAACACATAGTCTCAGCCTAATTTCTTGAAGTCTTCTCAATACCTGATCAACCACTCTCTCCAACACAATTTGCGTAATTGTTACTAAATCTGTTATTGAAATTTTATAATCTATTATCCAATTTTCTATTCTGGCTAATAGCAAAGTATTCTTATGATAATATGGTTCTCCAAATATATTGTGCATAATCACGTTCCAGGTCTACCAAAACCAAATAAACTGGACTAATATTTTGGGGGATGTCAGAGGTATTAGGCTCCACCTAAAAGAAGAAAGAAGGTGTTACTCATTGGGAGAGGCAGCAGGATGAAGATTCACAAAAGAGGTACCAAAAAAGTGACTGCAATAATGTTCCATGAATCGCCATCTATCACACTGATACCTCCACAGTGGGTGAGTCCATACAGCATGTAGCCTTTGTGACACAGGCACTGGAAACTCCCGGGTGTATTTACACAGATGTGGTCACAGGTTCTATCAAAGGAGCATTCATCAATATCTGGGAACAGGAAAACAGAACATAAGCTTCATTGAACAAATGAGAGCCAGTTTGATCTAGTTTATTAAGACACCAGGCTAAAAACAAGGAGATTGTGAATTCTAGTTCCACTTTAGGCATGAAAGCTGCCTGGGTTATTTTGGGCCAGTCGCTCTCTTTCAGCCCAACTCAATTCACAAGGTTGTTGTGGGGAAAATAGGAGGAAGGAGTGCTAGGTACTTGTTCATCATCTTGAATTATATATATAAAATGAAGGTGGGCTTAAATGAATGAATAATAAACAATAAATATGCAGGTAGTAAGCCTAGAGAATGGGATTATTTTGCCTTTTTACTAACCAGAAAATGTGAAACTACCAAATTGCCGAGGATTAGGAGAAATGTCATTCTACTAGCAATTAACTCTTTACTTTGGTAGCATGACTTTTCCTTGACCCCTCTCAGCCCAAAAATAAGGGTACAAATTGTTCCAAAATCGGCCTTCCCAAGATCCATTTTCACTGGCAGTGGGTTGCAGGAGGCCATGGCAGTCGAAAACAGAGCTCAGGAGCCCATTTTTGCTGGCAAGAGCATGGGCCAGTCCTTCGTTGTTTACAAGGCAGCCCCGGGGGCCAGATCTGGCCTTTGGGGTAGGCCAGATCTAACTACCCCAAAGGCCAGATCTGGCCCTTGGGCCTTAAATTTGACACTCCTGATGTAGAGTAACTAAAGTATTCTTCATGCCAACTGTAAGTGGCTTTTCATGTGATAGATGACAATGGACAGGGATAGAATTTCAACTGAGGGAACCATCTTCATGGCTTTTAGAATGTTGCATTTGAAAGCTTTCTGGAAAGCAGTGCAAGATGGACTTATTCATGATGAAAGTGCATTGTGGATGCAGCAATATAGGGGCAGCACCATTTGCTGCTGGCACTGGGGCAGAAAGGGATCAAGGCCCAACAGCTATATGGATGTGGCCTGAGAAGAAAAAGTAATAAGGTCAAATCTCTCCTTAATGTCTTAAAGACAGAGGATGAGGGTGGTTGTTATTAGTATTAAGGGGGAAACATTAAGAAGGTCTTTATATTTCAACCAGAAAACAAGAAGCATTAGACAAAGGAATGAAAAAGATGCTTATGTTGAAATAAACAGACAATTTTCTCAATGGGGGGACATGGAAGCCTTGTGAGACTATACTAGGATCTGTGTTTTTTATTTATCAATGATCTTGACTTAAGAATATACAATAAACTTTTAAAATTCCAATATTTAGGATGGTAAAAAAGTGGCTATGAAGGGTTCCCAAGGATAATTGTATGAATAGATGAATAATCATTCCAGAATGATGTATGCTGAGGAAAAATCCTAACTTTATATATGCACGGATAAAGTCTGTGCTATCTGTTAACTAACCTGGAAAAAGTCTTGGGGTTAGAGTGAGTAATGGCAATACTGACTCAGTGTTTGTGTCAACTGTGAAAAAGACAAATTCCATGGGACATTCATTAAAAATGAGAATGAAAACAAAACTGCCAACATTGTTAACCATTATTCAACCAAAAGGACCAGGAGGGTCAAATATTTTCCCTATGAGAAAAGGCAAACATATTTAAGATTCTTTTAGACTGGAAAAATAATGAATGAAAAGGACATGATCAAGATCCATAAAATTATATATGGCATGGATAAGATGGATAGCATTTTCAAAATACTGGCTTCAGGGGTCACCCAATGAAGCCAATTAGAAGTAAATTCAGAACAGACTTAAATGAGCACTTTTTTACACAAAACATAATTTCCCTATGAAATTAGGAAATTCACTATTGTGGATGGTTTTAAAATGAGAATGGATAAATATTTGTACAAGGACATTATCATAACAAGTCTATAAAGATTCAATGATACATCCAGGTTGAGAGCACTCTATCACGAAATAATAAATTGTAATGAAACAACAGCAAAAAATCTCCCGCTTGTGAACACGCTAAAGGAATCAGGTTTGCTATTGTAAGAAACAAAATACTGAACTAAGATGAGCATTGATCTGATCCAATAGGGCCAATCTAATATTTCTACATTGCTATTATATAAAATAGCAAATAGCAAAGTCAAAGCTATGAAACATTGAAGTTCGAGCCACATAGATTTAATTTCTTATGCTGACTATCAAAAAAGAATTAAATTGACAGTGCTTCGCGCGTGACTAAGCTCTATCTCCATATTTAAATAACTGCTTCATTATTATTTCCAGCAAGATATGAGAAGACTTTACCTTGGCACGTCCTTTCATTGATAAGCAATTTGTAACCCTTTTTACAACTGCATTCAAAACTCCCCACTGTGTTCCTGCAGATGTGGTCACAGCCACCATTGTTTAATCTACATTCATCTATATCTGTAATAAGGAGGCAAAAAACACAGCAAAACATGCTTAGATACAAAAGAAGGTGACAATTGAATGAATGCCATATAGTCATCAAATGAGGATTCAACAGAAGAGGAACAGGTCAAATGCCTTGATTTCTCAGTTCAGATTCCATTTAGATGGTACTTTGGATGTGTATTCATACAGATAGCTCTTGACCTATGACCATAATTGGGTTCAAAATTTCTATTGTTAAGTGATGCGGTCATAAAGCATGATGTCATGTAACTGCATCACTTAGTGCCAGCAATCCTAGGACTCCTTGCTGCTGTCATTAACCAAGAATAACAAGTTGTTATTTAAGTATTCACCCTGATCCAAGTCATTCCCAGGCTTGGTGCCTCCCAGTTCCAAACCCTGGAAAGGTAGGGCACTGTGTCCTTTTCAAGTTCACTCTCCCATCTAGCTCCTTCCACAACTCTGGCCTTTTGGCAACCCTCTACCTTGCCTTGAGGGGCAGCAAGCAGTCCCAGAACTTCATGGCTCAGGAGCTGACTGACATGCTGCCGCTTAAGAGTTTCTAAGTGTGCTCCATTCTGGGCCTACAAAAAGCCTGAGTCTCCCTGAAGCTCAAAATCGCAATCCCAACCTGGCCCAACAGTGTAGAGCAAAAGGGTTTCTTGGTACACCAGGGCTCTGGGGTTGCAAGAAATCCCTGAGGTGCAGTGTAGCACATCACAAAGCACAGCCCTGGTCTGGCCCAGCAGAATGGTGTGAAACTGAAGCCACCCCAGCCCAGTTCCAGGCAAAGTCACCTTTGTCCTTCTGCACTCCAATCCCTGCCACCATCTGCATGCCCAAGATGTCTGGTACTCTATGCTCTGAGATCCCTGCTGCCTTGTGCTCCTTGCCCCATCTCCACTACCCCAGCTGACCTTCACCTTCCTCTTGTCCCCACTGCTGATGAGGCATGCACCCTTTATGAGGCACTTGCTCACCACATAAGCCTATCTCACCCAGGTCTCATGAGGAAACTGCCACCAGTAACTTGAGGGGGGGGGGAAATAACCTCATGTGGCCAGCAGCTGCTTTGCAAAGAGGCAGGCTACGCATGCTTGGCCAGGAGCAGGAACAAGAAGGTGGCAAATGTCAGCTAGGGTAGCAGGGATCGTGAACACAGGGGCCAAATAATATAGATGGGGAGAGTTGAAGCATTCCCATGGTTGTAAATGAGGGAAGGCTGCCAAGTGGGTGAATTTTGATCACATGACCGCAGGGGTGCAGCAACAGCTGTAACTTTGGGCATCAATGATAAATCCCTTATTTTAGTATCACCATAATTCTGAACACTTGCTGAATAAACAGTTGTAAATTGAAGTCTATCTATATAATTCCTTGTGCTACAGGGTACTTACAGATTAGATGTTTGTTACCCAATCATCCCAAACTGCTTGGAATTTTATGGTAGTTCAAATAAAGATATGAACTTGATTTCATTAACTTCCAAACCAAGTTAAACTGACCTGGGCAGATTCTTTTAATATAGATTAAATCCAAAATGCAGGTTTTCTGAAACTGCTTCAGTGTTTGGGGGATTTCTAAGAATACTAGCCAGTTGCATTTAGGAAGAATTCATAATTTTGTTCTACACGAGGAAATGCAGAGGAGAAAGTGAGGAGGCTGTAATATAGGAGTGCAATGATCTTGGAATTGGAAGGACCCAGGTTCAAAACTCTCTGAACTATTGAAACTCCCTGAGTGACTCTCATTCTATCTCAACCCAACATATTTCATAAAGTTAATGTTGGGGGAAAAGCTTTAATCATAATAAAATGTAAATATATAGGTTTGTAGACTATACAAATGTGACTACACAGAATTATTTATTGCAATATTCATCACATTTTTCTTACACAAAGCTCATTTATAACAGTTAAGTGAACATAGGATCACAAAAATATTAATGAAACAATATACCTTTTAAAATTTAAAATAATTTAAAGCAGAAGCAACATAAGGAATCACCGGTTTTAAAAGCCAGAAAAAGCTTGATTTCAGTTTTCAAAAGCAAATGAAAGTATCTAAATAGGCTGTGATAATTTACAAAGGAAGAATTTACAGACAATTACACCCCTCATTTATTGTCATCTACATCGTTTTCAGATATATAACACAAGACAGCACTGAAGACACAAAGAATCTCTCCGAAAATTAATTTCAAATAAGAGCCAAATGATTATATTCTAAATTTAGCTGTAATTTTTAGAATTGTTTTGCCAAAAAAGGTAGAAAGAACATATTATCTGCTTTGCTTAATTCCCTAAACTCTTATAAAGTGTCTACTATCTATAAAGAAATATTTTTACTTGTAGCACTTGCCAGAAAATTTACTGCTAGGAAATGGTTTGTTAAAAGCTGATGAATCCCAGAAAACAAGCTCAGACAGACGTCATCGAAAATTGCTGCCTTGTCTTGCCCCCGATCCAACCAACTTCAGCAAGCACGATGAATTGTCAATGCTGTTATTGTTATTATCATTGAAATGTATTAGCAATAAAATAGCTCTGAACAGTAATAAAGTCTCAGTCTCAGAGAATACAGTTCTGGGGCATTGTGTTTTCCTGCAGTTCCAGCATCTTAGAGTTAATGAGCTCTGAAAAATAATAATGAAGCAAATGGGATCTGGAATCAGTAAGCTGGTTAGACAGCTTTCAGCAGGGGGCTGTTTTTTAACTAAGGTCACATTCCCTGGAACTGCCAGAGACAGAACACAGACTCCATCCATTTATGAAGTCTCACTTATTTCTCAGCAATTTTTTCCAGGTTGTTCTTTAAAAACAATAGCAATAGCACTTAGACTTATATACCACTCCAGATGTTTTACAGCACTCTCTGAGCAGTTTATAATGTTGCTCCCAACAACCCGTAGCCTCATGTTACTGACCTTGGGAGGATGGAAAGGCTGAATCAACCTTGAGCCGGTTAGGATCGAACCCTTGACTGTGGGCAGAGTTGGCCTGTAATACTGCATTCTAACCACTGCACCACCACGGCTCTTACAAACCTCAGTTTCTTCTCAATGCAAAATTAATACCAGTTGAAGGACACAGGTGTATCCTTTTCTCTGCATCAGATCCATTTACTAGATAAAGACTTTGGTTGCATCTTACCTTTGCAAGTTTTTCTATCAGGCTGAAGCATGAATCCCATGGGGCAGCTGCAGTGTACGCCTGTGGCTGCATCATGGCATTTGCTATCACAGCCTCCATTGTTAACAGCACAGGTCTCTGAAAGAAGATCAAAAGCCAATTAGAATTATTTTAAAAGCATACACACATGTAAAAAATAACAGCTCCCAAAAGAAACCAGCATGGCTGCATAAAGAACTCTCTGACAAATTGAAAGACAAAAAAGTTAAGTATAAAAAGTGGAAAGAGGGGGACATATCTAAGGCAGAATATCAGCAAACAGCCTGAGCCTGTAAAGATGAAGCAAGGAAAGCTAAGGCTCACAATGAAGAAAGGCTTGCCACAAAAGA